CTTGCATCTTAATATGTTTAATGGGTCGTTGAGTTATGAGTCTAGTTGGAAGTGGTCAATTGAAATGTCTTAATAGTGATCTTTTCGTTTTAAGATCACTCTAATTCTGCAGAAACTAAGTTCTCTACATATGTTTCAGCACAACTATATGACAATATTCATGTATTTAAAACTTTATAATCACCTAAAATACTGCAACATGATAAGCAGAACTAGAACTCCTTAAGCTCTGCATGCCTGCATCACATGTTAACTTTTGTCTCCTCTTTGATTGTCCAATTATTTGTGCATTGAGAGAAAAATAAACGTTGTAAAGAAAATACCTAATTTGGACTATTTATCTCTTGATGAGTAGCTCTAGTTTTTACATGAATAAACTTATTGGTTCCTGAAAAGCACTTAATGGTATCTTTTTTAGTTTTAACATGGTGGAAACTACTATGAAATCCATGGGTAGAACTCATCCTTGGAAAATCAACTTACGAGGAAAGGGTGCTCTTGTGTATATACACCACATCCCAAAGGTACCCAAGAAATGTGGGGATATGTTAACAGTCTCCCTTAGTGTCAGAACTAGAGACACCAAGCGCTCCCCCTCCACTCAGGGTAGGAGATACTAACCTGACCTATTGATGTGGTACGCCTACTTTGATACCTTGTAAAATCCGTGGGTAAAACTCATCTGTGAAAACCGGCTTACAAGTAAAGGATGCCCACGATTTATATTTCACACATCCCAAAGGTACCTAGGCGATGTGGAACATTGCTAACAAGTATCACAAACAATAGCACTTAGAATCTACAAGGCAAGCTTACAGATCAGAGAGAAACTCAGAATGTTATTGAGTTACAAGTTCAGGTAAATAACCTGATTATATAAGAAACCACCTAAGGAAGGGAGAGGAAATATCACAAGACATGGATAATCCTAGCTAATTTAGAAGTAAAGACTAATTAAGGTCCTAATTAAGCTACTATTGACTGAAGTTGACACAATAATTTCCAAAGGGGCAAGTGCTAATTGAGAAGATTAAATAATGGGATTTCATTTGGGTTCTTGACAATCCAAATGCTCCATGAATTCTTCTGCTGTGTGTTGGTATCCAACTAGTTTTAAATTCTCTGTGTGCATGCAGTTGAAGGAGTATCCAGTGGAGGCATGCAAATTGCGTCTTTCATTGTTGAATCTTTCAAACAATTCATTGTCTGGATTGCCCCCTGAATTGGGTAAGGTTAGCTAATTTTAATTTGTATTCAACAGTATCTGGTATATATTCATCGAAATTCCTAAATCCTGTATGGGTTGCAATGCTCTGAAAACGTCATATGTATTTCACATTGTGAGTTATATGAAGGGATAGAATTCTACTCTCGTTGATCCAATTGGAAACAGATTTTTAAATATATGGATAAGCCCTTTTCAGAAAGACCCATATGTCCTAATTTACTTGTATAATACCAAGAAGTTCTACTTTTAAAATATTTTATTAGAAAGATCCTAATACTAAGTAGACCTTTAATAATCTTTTAAAAGAATAATGGAACTTATCACATAGTGCACTAGTGTTAGCTGTATTTCTCATGGGTGTGGCAGGATTGGGGTGCGTGGGCTGATGAAATGATGAATATTTCCCACAGGAGTGGTGTGGGTGGGAGTGTGGGCGTGTGGATGCACTGGATGCACAAATTGAATGATGATTAAACATTGCTGTTTATTATATTAAACTCCACATTGCTCTAATGCCTACCTCCTGTTTACTCATCTAAGGATTTGAAAGTCCAATTTGATAGTTGTCATGTTTGACTGTAATAAATATTCTTAATCGTTTTACTCTGTTTAGGCAAGATGACTACCCTGCGAAAACTTTTGCTTACCGGAAATCCTTTACGAACTCTTAGAAGGTGAGAGGCGTTTGTTAGCCCTTTTTTTATTTAATGATTTTGTTGAGTAAGTATTTATCAAACAAAAATTTCCTCTTCAGCTCATTGGTTTCTGGATCAACTCCTACTTTATTGAAGCATCTTCGAAGTAGACTTTCTGAGAATGAAGGTATGTTTATCGACAACTCATGTATGGTTTTTTTTCTTTTTTTTTGCTTTTTCTAACATGCTAATTCTGTAAATTTTCGTGGTATTGTATGGTAGACAATCACTGGAACCCATATGCTTAAGTTGTTAATAAATGGAAGAAAAGCTAATACCCTCCCTCATGTGCTCATGCTCATAGAGACGCATATAACTGCAGACTGTATAGTTGCAGTTCAACCCTGCAGGTTAACAAGCAAGTAGAGGATGGGGTTTGGAGGTCTTGAACAGGACCTCATTGAAATAAAGCTTTAATACAATGTTACAATGTGATAAATAATTAGTTGAGAAATTATATCATCCTCTCCATATTGAAGTTGTACAAGTGTGAGTACATGAAATACAACACAATTATAAGTCTAAGAAAGAATCAAACATCCTAATTCTAAGTATATTTAGAAGCCTAATTATAAGCATAAAAATTTGGAAATGTCACTGATAATAGCATCCGACATAGTAAAACTTCCAAAAACTCAATAACGTGAAATTACAATTTTCAACCAACTTTTGCCTTAAGTAATTTAATTCGGGTTTCTTATGTAGATGCAGAAGCTACAACTACAAAAAAGGAGGATGTTATTGCCATGGCCACTCGATTATCAATCGCTTCAAAGGTACTGTTCCTTAATGTTTCTGAAGAGGATATGAGCTTATCTGAGGATGGTCATTTTTATAGCTCAACTATTTTTTTGGGGGGGAAGGAGGTTCCTAGAAAATGCTAGCATTTATGATGTGATTTGTTCCCCACGTGCGGTTCATGTATAAGGTTGTTGGTGAACACCCCTTTTCCCTTTTGTGGGATCTTGGCTTAGTTGGCTATTCTAGTATAGAGTTCAGGATTCACCTTTCAGTTAGATGTTTCTTTGAGATGCTAAACTTTTGAACTTAAAATTGGTTTTATGGTTTTACATTTAGGAACTTTCTATGGAAGGGCTGGGTTTGACTGTTGTCCCATCAGAAGTATGGGAGTCGAGTGAGGTCACAAAAGTTGATCTTTCTAGGAATTCCATCCAAGAGCTTCCAGTTGAGCTTTCATCATGTGTCTGCCTTCAGGTAAATATCATTATACATGGGTTTTTCTGTCTACTGACTTGCAGAATTTTATTTGTTTGTTTAAATTTGCTTGTTAAGTTCTTATAAAATATAAAATAAAATCTGCTATTAAGTTGATTGTGTATGTAAGTCGTCCTTATATTTTATCCAAATGTGCAGACTTTAGTTTTTTCCAGGAACAAGATTAAAGACTGGCCAACAGCAATTTTAAGGTCACTTCCTAATCTGTTGTGTTTGAAGCTGGACAATAATCCACTAAGACAGGTAAATCTTTGTAGCTGGTACAATAGTCTTTTTCATACTTTCATAATATAGAAGATTTTCAAAGAGAAACAAGGAAGGGACATGGTTCATGACAAATATAATTCTCGGAACAAAATTTCTAATACCTTGCTATAGGACCACTGTCCAAAAGCTTAAGCTGTTGAGGAATAGGCCCACAATGTACATCAAGCTAACCGATCTGAGTACCTTCCTTATTTCTTGACTTGTAGATTCCACCGGATGGATTTCAAGCAGCCCCTATGCTTCAGGTTCTCGATCTAAGCGGTAATGCAGCTTCATTACCAGAGCATCCATCATTTTCCAGCTTACCACATTTGCAAGAGCTTTACCTGAGGTTAGTGAAGTTGTGACACACAGGAACACATGTTCACAAATATAGAGAATATGAATGCATGTCTGCATGTAGATGTTGGAGTTTTCAATAACATCTCAATTGTTTGCATACATCTATTTTCACCTGACAGACGAATGCAGCTACGAGAAGTCCCATCAGATATCTTGAGTTTGCAGCAACTGCGGATCCTTGACTTAAGCCAAAATTCCCTCAGATCGGTTCCAGTGGTAACATATTCTTTGATTAAGAAATAAATATACATCTGATACCTTTTATAGGTTTAAAACTTAGACTTGTCAGGAGACACCTGTAGAGGTTTTCTGATAATAATAATAGTAGTTATCTACTTGGTAGAAATTTAAAGAGTTTAAAGTGTTCTTATTGAAGTTGGGAGAAAATGTTGGAGTCATTAGGGGGTCAGAGAGAGGAGGCAGGCCCAGAATTTCATTGGAGTTTCACTGCGTTCTTTTGTATCCATATGGATATTGGGTGTTCTATTTTTCTTTTAGGACCACATACGCCTTGGCGAAGTGGTCCTAAAAGAAGGAAACCCTCTAAATGGATTGATAAAATGTTCATTTTAGGTTATTCTCAGTTCATAAATCATGTCTGTCCACAGACAGCCTTTCCTCTTGTGGTACATTAATTGCTATTCGAATTCTTGATTGTCTCTGTTAATATTGACATGCAGGAGTTCAAAAATCTTACTTCACTCACTGAGCTAGGCCTATCTGACAATGACATCTCAACGCTTCCCCCAGAGTTGGTCAGTATATGAAAACCTTTCATAATTGGATTGGTTTCTTTGGTCGTGACTACAACAAATGACAACACGAACTACCATGTTGTTTTTTTTTAGAGAGTATAGATTCATTCCATAGACTCATCTGATTGAATATATAAAATGGGTGGCCCAGTGCATGAGGCTCCTGCCATTCTGGAGTCTGGGGAGGGTCAGATAGACACAGCTTTTTTGGCCCCATAAAGTGTAGTCTACCTAAAAAAGTGGTTATAAATTCTTATATTACCAGAAGTATGGTCCTGTAGTGGTTGGCTCAGTCCCAAAGAAAGTGAGTTAAAGTCAATAACTTGAATATTTCCTTTTGTAGATAAGGTCACTGATCATTTTTTTTCATCAATGCATTTCCCCTAGCTTATGTAACTATAAATATTTCCTACTCTTCTGGATCTTTGTTTCTAAGTAATATTAAGTTGTGCTCAACTTCAAATATCACACTATATGTATGTTGTCTACTAGCTCATATAATATTTTTGTCCAGACTGACTTTGTTACTTTATTCTAACATAGACAGTTTCTTTGATCAGGGTTTGCTTGAACCTAGCTTACAGGCCTTAAGACTTGATGGAAATCCATTAAGAAGGTATGCTACTTTTTTCGTCATGTCCTATAAGTTTCACTGGAAGGTTTGTTGTCATTCTGTAGTTTTGTGACATTAATAGCTGTACAAAAACAAAAACAATTGACGCAAAGATAAAATTTAGGTCAGTCAAGTTTTATCACTGGCTTACCACCAGACTCCTTGATTGTCTGGGCGATATGGTTCAAGGATGTATGGCAATCACTGGGGTGTGGCCTCGTGCATTTGTCAAGCAGTAAACAATGTCATTGATAATATTGTTACGAATTTATGCACTGGTGGACAAAGTGCAAGGCAAAAGTACACCTGTAAGGTTTGCCTCTGGCAGAAACCTAAGACCAATTGGAGCCTGATCCCTTGCTCCAAATCCGACTGCTCAAGTTCCTATTTGATGTGGATTCTGAGCCCCAAGGTTACAATCATCATATAGATTGCTTATAGTGCTAAAAAGGCATAGTTAAATAAGATGCTAATTACTGAAACGTACCCTAGACAATCCCTTGCCTTCAATTCCTTTATGAACCAGGAAACTGGTGGGGAAGCACAAGTTGCATATTTTCCTATAAGAGGCCAAAAGATAGATTAAAAACACAAAAATATCAGCTAGGCAATGCACTCCATCCACATGCATGTTAATTGGTCATGCTTCCCACTGCAAAGTGAATCCCATGATTACAGGATGAGAACTTGTAGAATATACTTAATTTCTATGTGTACTAGAGTTTTTAAATTCTTTGCTGTCCTATGCATCATGACCCTTCTCATTTTATGTATATATACTTGAACAGCATCCGGAGGACGGTTTTAGACAGAGGAACCAAAGCTGTTCTGAATTATCTCAAGGACAAAATTGTTGAAGCTTAGAATCTCTGCGCATCATTTCTTGTCCATCCAGACGTGCTGTCCCACTCCACATGCCCAAGTTCTTGATTTGAAGACCGCGGTGCTTGTATGGCTCGTGTGTCGTGTCGCAGCTTGTATCATTTGAGTTTATTATTGATTTTGGATTCCATTATCATGGAATATACTTGCCAAGCTTCCACACCCCTACCTATTTAAATTCCAGATCAATTGTGTGTTTGGTTTTGTTGTTGTAATTGGAGCTTAGACTTGTGAGTGCTATGTGAATGTACCAATAAAACATTTTACAGATAATAATAACGATATTACAGATCAATACCTTTAACAGTATCAGATTTTTCCTGTTCTCGTAATTGGAATTTTGCTTCGTTTCCTTTTTTTTCTCTTTTTCTTTTCCATTTTTACCCATAAAAACTCAAAACAAAAAGGAGATTTTAAAATAAAATAAAAAACTGACAAGGGATAGAATTTAGTACCACCATCCTCACTTCCAGCCCGGGAGCTTTATTTCAATTTATTATAAATCACCCATTGGACCAAGGTCGCCTCGTTTTCTCTGCATGAAAACTGTGAGTGAGAGAGAGAGCACCACTATCACCATGGTTCTGGAAATCACCATTGTTGCTTCCTCTAATTTGGCAAGTTCAATTAGTAGAACCTACAGGTTATAACTACTGGTTATTAGCTGTGATTTCCCCCAAAATGTAGCTTCAGAAGTACACTATTGTTGATCATTAATTAATGTTGTTGTTGTCTGAATATTTAATTTGCTTAATCTCTTCGGATTTTCTATATAATTACTAATGACCATGTTGGGAAATGAAACGGGCATGAGAGTACCAAGAGAATAGGATTTTCTTTCAATCTTCTTACCGTGCTTAGTTGCTTGCTCAGCAAGTTTCGTACCGTGCTTAGTTATACATTTTGCCCGAAATGTTCGCTGTAGTGATTTTTTTATCATTTTCTAGATGAAAATATTGCTTTTTGTATAGCAGTATGAAAATATTTTCATTTTCGTTTATATTGTTGGTAAGAAGATAAAAGTTTAAAAGCTAAGGTAAAAATTAGATCCTTACAGTGAGTCGGTTCGGTTACTCGCTGTGGGCCCTATAAAATCCCCATTCAACCGTGGCCTCCAAGAAATGCTCTCTGCGACTGAAAACTGAGCGACTGTGAGAGAGAAATATGGTGCTGGATATCACCGTCGAGCGCGACCCCGACGTCAACGACATCGGCACGGACGCCTACACCGTCCACGTGGAGTCCCATCGCATCCTGACAGTCGCTACCTTCTCCGAAGCCACCGTCACCAAATGGCTCAAGCAAGTCTTCAAGTTCACCAAATCCACCATTCTCGTCGGCGTCGCTGCCGAGGTCGACAACACGCGAGGGTGGCTCAGGAAGAAAGATCCACCGTACGACATGCTCTGCCTCACCATCGGATGCCACTGCCTCATCTACCAGTACTTTGACGACAAACCCGCTGGCTTACTCGTCTCCTTCCTTGCAAACCCTAGGGTTTTCGCAGTGGGCCGCGACATGGCCAATCTCTGCAGGAAGCTCAAGACGGACCACGGCATCGAGATCCGGAACGCCGTCGACGTCAACGATCTGGCGGTCAGGGGGCTGGGGAGGGACGACCTGGATCTCGGCCGCTACGGCCTGGACCGGCTCGCGAAGACCGTGCTGGGAAAGAAAATGGACGTGGTTCGGCCTGAGGAGGAGCTCTTTTGGCACGGTGAGTATGAGTCTTTTTGGAGCATGAATTGTGAGGTGGTCAAGTTCTGTACTGTTGATGTGTATCTGTGCTACTTGATCGGTTTGGAGTTGATCGACGCCATTGACGGTGCTGCTGACCTTAAGAAGATGAAGAAGAAGAAGAAAAACAAGAAGGACAAGTAGGTAAACTCGCCATCTAGCAAAGATCGATGGAGAGCCACTGGTCTGTTGTTTTGTTTAGCTAATTTGAGCTCATGAATTAGGGTTCCTAATTGCTTGTTATTTGCTTTTATTTCCCCAAAATTTAGCTTGAGAGTTGGTATCGTACTGGAATCTGATCAGTGTTTGTTCATGTCGACTTTTACAGAGAAAAGTATCGGAATCACTTGGATTTTCTTCTTTCATTTTTTTTTTCTCGGGCTTTCTCGGGAAACAAACTGGTGATAACAATATTAGTTAGCTTACGTTCAGTTAAGCTGTCACGTGTGTGCTCACGTGCTGTTAGTTAGTATTACCTGTAATTAGTTAGATTGTTAAGTCTTAATAATTTACTAATGCTTCGCAGTAATTTTTCCGAAAACGGTGGGCGGTAGTAATTCTTTTACTCTCTTTTTCCGGTAGTAGTCGCTGTGCGCTGCATGCCGCCGTACGGGTTTTGGGGAACATACGCGGCAAAGTGCACGACTCTTGTAATTCCTTAAGCTTGGATATCCTACTAACTTCTAGTATTTGGGACTCTTTTCTTTCTTTCTTTGTCATTTCGATTTACTTACAGGGATGGTGGACACTTCAATTGTAGGGATGGAGAACACTTCAGTTGCATCATTCATTTGTATGGTCGGATCGGAGGAGTGCTTGGATTAGAAAGTACTAGCTATAGGTCTTCTTAGGCGTGTTTGTATTATTGTTTGTATAGGATTGTACAAATTTTTTATTCATTAGGAAAATATTGTAATACTTAATTACTATTATGTATCAATTGAATATTTATATTTAATTAAATAATAATATTAGAGGCCTCTTTTACACATGAAGTGCATTACCAAGGAATTATTATTATTATCTTATTAAAAAAAAGGCGAAACCCATTATGCCCTCAAAATCAATAACGTTGCTACTGAAATGCTGGATTTGGTGGATTGCAAAATCATACACAAATGCCGAGTTTATTTCCCCATGCATGATAATTAAGAAAAATCATACACCTAATTTTTTTAAAATCTTTTATAAAAGCATCCGCGATATATCCTTTTTCCTTACCAAAAAAAAATTAAGCAAAGAGTTTTCAATAATAGCGTCGTAAATAAAAAATAATAATGAAAATGATTAGCTTACATTAAAAAATTTCTTACTTCAATATATGTTTGGTTACACAAGTGAAAGGTTTAACGCTTTCCTCACCAACATTTGGGAAGAAAAAAAACATGACTTGAAAAATCTGAAGATATTGGGTTATATTGTAATTTTACAATCAAGAAATTAAAAAAGTAGAGGTAAAACATACATATACGTGACACAGTAACTCACAGTGAGTCAATGACTCGCTCCTCACTCCTCGCTTTCCTATATAAGTGCGGTCACATCATTTCACCGTGCTCTCCAACATATTCTCTCTGCAATTGAAAAAACTGGGCGTGCGAGTGTGAGAGAAAAAGCCACAACCATGGTGCTCCAAATCACCGTCGAGCGCGACTACACCATCGAAGACACCAGAACCGACCCGTACACCGTCCACGTCGAATCCCACCGCATCCTGACCGCCTTCACCCGCTTCGACTTAATCGCCACCAAATGGCTCAAGCAAGCGCTCAAGTCCTCCCTCACCAAAACCACCGTTCTCGTCGGCGTCTCGGCTGAGACGGACTACCCTTGGGGGTACAGGCGCAATGGGGACGTGCCGTACGACATCCTCTGCCTTAACATCGGCTCCCAGTCCCTCATCTACGGCTTCCCTTACGACCGTGACAAACCAGCACGCTTCTCCTCTCCTTCTTCCAAGACCCTAGGGTTTTAGCCATCGGCGACGGCATGGCCGAGCTCTCCAGGAAGCTCAAGCTTCATCGTGTTTAGGCCTGAGGAGGAGGTCGAATGGTACGTCGAGGATGGTTGGAGCCTCCGGAGCCAGAAGGTCAAGTTCTGTACTGTTGATATCTATCTGTGCTTCTTGATCGGATTGGAGTTGATCGACTCCATTGACGGTGCTGCTGGCCCTAAGAAGAAGAAGAAGGATATCTAGCTATGAGCGATGGAGAGCCACTGATCTGAGCCTCTCTCTCAGTACGTAACGTACGGACTATTATCTCTCTGTCGATTTCGTGGTCTGTTGTTTTGTCTTTAACTAATAATTTTAGTAGTGGATTAGGGTTCTCAATGTTGTTGTTACTGATTAGCAGTGATTTTCCCCAAAAATATATAGCTTAAGAGTCGATGAAGTAGTCATCAATATGCTTGCTCAATGTTGGTGTTCTTTGAATCTGTGTTTTGTTGTGATATTCGGATATTTCTCATATATTAGAAATATTTTCATGTTGATGTTACGTTCGAGAGGTACTCAGAAACTTGGATTTTCTTTGAGTTTTCTCGGGAAACAAACAGGGGCCTAGAACGGCTTCCTCAACAAGTTTAGTGGTTATAGTACTGCACAGCTGTAATTTTGGCCAAAATGATTGCTGCAGTAATTTTTAACCTTTTTCCCTTACTGGCAAAAGAGTCAGTAGTCTCTGCTGTTCATTTGCAGCGAGACGTGGGTTGCATGCGCTGTGCTTTACATGCTACGCGCCAAAACGAGTGGCTTGTTCCACGGCTTCGTTTTGGTTGATCCGTGCGTGGTTGGTTTGGTTAGTCTCGTTCCATTAATTGGTTTGGTTAGTCTCGTTCCAGAGTAGTTAGCCTTTCCAACAAAAGAAAAAAGAAAAAGGAAAAAAGAAAAAAGAAAAAAGAAAAAGAGATGTTAGTTTTGAATAGAAAATGGGCCTTTCTGGACAAAAAACGGTTGTCTCATTCACATCTGTGATATCATGTCAATGACACGTCACACATAAGCCATATGTCTGAGAGATACTACCCGTACGTCTCAAGATCAATAATATGAGTCTTATAATGAAATGTTTGATTTTGTGGGTATGTACCTAAAAATTTGAAAAGCGCTCAATACCCAAATTAATACAAAAATTCCAACTTTATCCCATAGGACATGATAAAGAAAAAAAATTTAGGAATCTAAATACATCCAAGAAGTTGGACACAAATAATAGCCATTTAAATTTAAATGAACTAACTTTAGGTGTAGTGGTACTTTTTTTTTTCTTTTTCCAATATTAGAAAAGGTCCCAAATTGGAATCCCCGTTCTCTGTTGATCAAATAAAAGATGAAGATTTTTTATAACACAAGCGATGGAATGAGAGTTTCTCACACACACGAAAGAGTAAAAAGTTGAGAAATTGTATTTGATGTTGATTGTATTAATCAAATTCCTCTAATTGAAGTAGCAATTCCAGCGCTCAGTCTGCACTCTCGTTTCAGCGAGTTGCGCTCTAAAGTGAATATTTTATAGTACTCATAAGAGAAGTACACGAGGTTAAAAAGGGAGTGTTTAAATCACTAACCTAATTTGGAACTCCTATCATTAATTAGTTTTAATTATGCCTAAAGGAAGAGTAATCTTCATAAAACAAGTCTTAGTAATATAATTTGGTTAATGTAGAAAAAGAAAAATCTAGTAGAAAGAATGTGTGATTAGCTTTTAATTTTTCTCAAGAAACAGTTGGAAAATTTTAAGTTGGGACCTGAAGATTGATCTGTAAATTTTTACTGTCAAGAAATTGAAAAAGTAAGGTAAATGCGTAACACAGTAACTTCCAGTGGCTTCCTCTATATAAAGTCCCATCGATGGACCGAGGTCACCAAGATATTTTCTCTGCAACAAAAAACTGAGATAGTGTGTGAGAGAAGAAAGAGAAAGAAGAGAGAGTGAGAGAGCCACAACAATGGTGCTTGAAGTCACCGTCGAGCGCGACTACACCATCGAAGACCCCAAAACGGACGCCTACACCGTCCACGTGGACACCCAGCGCATCCTGACCGTCGTTACCCACTCCGAGTCCATCGTCACCAAATGGCTCAAGGACGCCCTCAAGTCCTCCATCAAATCTGCCGTTCTCGTCGGCATCACGGCCGAGACCGAGGAGAGGTGGCGCTGGCACGAAAAGGACAGGCACAAGGAGTATCCGTACGACTTTCTCTGCCTCAACATCGGGGCCCAATCCCTCGTCTACGAGACGTGGGAGACATATTTCAGAGGCAGACACTCGCTCGTCTCCTTCCTCGAAAACCCTAGGGTTTTCGTCATCGGCAGCGAAATGGCCAATCTCTCCAGGAAGCTCAAGGTTCACCACGGCATCGAGATCCGGAACGCCGTCGACGTCAACGATCTCGCGATCAGGGGGCTGAGGAGGGACGACCTGGATCTCGGCCGGTACGATCTGGATCAGCTCGCCAGGGCCGTGCTCGGGAAGCAAATGGACTTGGCTAGGCCTGAGGACGATTTCTACTGGAAACATAGGGACGATGAGTTCCATCGTTGGACCCAGTGCGACGAGCTGAAGTTATTCTGGGCCATTGATCCCTATCTGTGCTTCCTGATCGGTTTGGAGTTGATCGACGCCATTGACGGTGCTGCTAGCCAAAAGAAGAAGAAGAAGAATTAAGCTTGCCTTGCCTAGCTATGAAGTCTGAGTCTCTGACCGTACGTACGTACTATGTTGATTTCGTGTTTTCATTTTGTAGTGAAGTTACTAGTATCTGTGACTTTGAATCTCATCAGTATCGTTGTTGTTTGCTTTAATTTCCTCCAAAATGTACGTTGTTGTACGTAGCGAATTTCTAATATCACTGAGTAGTTGTTAATCTGATATCATGGATGCTATTTTTTTCTTTCCTTTGCTTTAGCTCTCTTGTGATTCTCTGTTAATCTCCAATATTCGTGTTGATGTTATGGTGAAAAAATGCTACTGATTGAGAGACTCGAATTTTCTTTCGCTTTTCTCGGGAAACAAACGGGGGCCTAGAATGGCTTCCTCAGCAAGTTTAGTGGTTATTGTACTGTACTGGGTAGGTAGGTGTATTGTACCGAAAATGGTTAACGCAGTAAATTTCCCTTTTTCTTTTTCCGGTAAAAGAGTCAGAAGTCGCTGTGGTGGGGGTGGCTGTGTGTGTGCACTGCATATTCGCGCCGTACGGAATTAACCGTTCATACGCGCGCCAAAACGCGTGGCTTGTTGCAGGACTCTTAAGGGTCATTTTGTTTGTATGTGTAACGAATGAATTAAATGGTTAGAGGTTATAGTACGTACACAAGTATAAAAGATTAAATATCACCTATAACAAAATGATTTAATTTCATGAAGAAAAAATATTTTTACTCATTATGAACTTAAAAATTAATATGCAAGCAAAAGATTTGTAGCTAAAGTTGTTCAGAGCCGTTTATTTCTACACCCAATACGCGTGAATCCTCCTTTCTAATATCGCTTATATATTTTCTTTCTATTTGGTGGGAAGAATCTTAAGGTTTCATATGTACCTAACAATTTCAAGATCTATCCATGAGCGCTGTGATAAGATTAAAAAGTAAACAAGGGAACCCCGTGGGGGGTGGTCACGTGAGGCAAGCTGGCCCTAGGTTAATTTTTTTTATCTTACAAAGTTCTAAATTGTTTTTTAGTTCTTAGCGCACCCATGGTGAAATTTGATACAGAATGTTGGGTGTGTAGGGTGCACCCGGTCAAAATGTTGGGTGGTGCATACAGAATCCCGTTAGACTTTTTTCAAAACGGCCCATTCTGTTTTGGGCTCGCAAGTATCATTCGGCATCCCATCCTGCACAAACTTCGCGGTTCGCAGTTCGCGCAGCTCGAAACGGTGCGTTTCACCTCTTCTTCTTCAACACTTCCCGCACTGGTACAGATGCGTCAGCAGAGCTCAAAACGCTGCGTCTTGAACTCCCCCCATAGCTTCTTCAACACTTACCTCCCTGATACAGGGTAAGATTATCCTCTCTCTCTCTCTCTCTCTCTATCTGCACTTTTAGGGCTGATATTTTACTTGAATTTCCCAATTTTTATATCCTGAATTAATTTCACATTCGATTTGGTTAATACATATGCCTTAACTATATGAGCTTATTGTTTTTATTTTATTTTAAATATATATATATGTATAGATATTATATTATCGTATACATCAGGCCATGGAGGCAAATACTGTGCGCAATGAAGATGAGGCTGAAGAAGAATATGTATTGCTTGATCTTGATTCTGCTTACTCGCAGTTTGACATTCCACCAAACGCACCCTATGTTCTTTCGGTACGTTTTTCCATTCTCAATTTATCGTTATTTTTATATTTTCAGCTATTTTCAGCATTTACAACTCTTTGTAATGCTACTTTAATATTGAAATGTATTGATTTTCAGGGTTTGAACTCAGAGCATCCTGTATTGACTATAGGTGACAAATTGAACTTGGTGAGTTTATATCCTGAAATATCAAAATCCTGTATTTACTTATATCACGATGATCTGTAGTCTAGTCTATGATTCTTTGCTGATTTTAACTTGTTAATGTATCCAAAACTAGAAAATGGGGGGAAATTCGGGTACTGTAAGTTGAATGTAATAGTATTATCCGGACTTAGACTCTGTGTGTTTCGTTGCTGAAAAAGAAAAACCCCTGCACTCTCTCAGCTTTGTTCATTTGTTTAAGAAATATTATGCTTCTATGCTGTCATTACATTTTTTTAATCTGACCCAATCTTGAACTTGTTAGGACACTGAGGCTATGAAATTAGTTCATGTTTTTGCAGCATAATTTGGTCATTTTCACTTATGCTGGTTTATGTAACATTGTATATCTTGGGTGGCAATAAAATGTTTTAACTCCGATCCGTGTACTGTTGCTCCTGCTGAGGTTTTAGTACTTTCCTGGCATTGTATGTGTTGTTTATAGCTAATTGTACTGTGCAGAATAATATTGACTAATTTAATTTCCCTTGGAGTGGTTTTTACTGACATCTAGTTAGTAGAGTCTTTTATGTAGATACTAACCCGTGTTTGAAGAACTACTAAGGAAAGTATAAATTAGGTTGTGTTTGCTATGCCCAAGCAGAGGGATGTAGCCTTTGAATTGGTTATTTATTATTTCGTGGTGCCTCTTAGACCAAATTTTTTTATTTATTTGATGTCTCTGTCTCTGTCTGTCTCTCGCTCTCCCTCTTTTCCTGGGGTTGGGGGTATTATGGAAACTGATATGTTGATGAACATGAATTTTTTTTTTTTGAAAAAATGAACTGGTTTTCAGTGAGAAGTGAGGTGACAAACCATGTATTTATCAAAAGGGTCATTCATCAGGTCATATTTGTTTATATTGAACAAATTGAAAGTATTACAACTATTGGCTATTTTGTTTATTTAATGTCATGATATCGCTTGCTGGTTAAAATCAAGTTGAGGATGTGGTGTCTATTTCTGTTGACTAGATGTTTATAATTCAAAGATGTTTTGGTGGATTTCTGGGTATTAAAAATAAAAAAGTTTAGACATCTGTGGCAGTTGGATACTAGTTTTTTACATTTATTCCTTAATTGTTACAATTCTCCCTTTGGTTTTCTCTGTTGAGCCTTGTGAGCTGTTTCATTATTTTTCATTGGTAATTAGTATGTCATACTTGGAAGAACTTGGGCAAATTATGTGTCACTGGAATGGCTTGGAGGTTGAAGTTTGGGTGACTTGATTTCCGTTGACTAATTCTTGTTTTCCTACAGATTGGAGAATATCATGAAACGGTTGGGACATGCCTTATTTTTAAAGAAGAAGGTAAATCACATTTTTATCCCACTCAGAAATATCTGTAAGAAACTATGCCTGGAAAACTGTTTTCTATACATACACTGAACTCAATATTTCTGGATCTAGATTTTTTGGAAATAAATCCTTTTTATCCCTTCCTTTTTCTTCTCTGTTTTTTACAATTTATTTCTCCCACTTCGACGGGGAATTCAGGTTGTCTTTTTATGTTATCCTAACAATGCCTTGTAGGAGCTTTTTTTCTACATAAGCAGGAGTAAATGTCCCTCAAATTCTGTTACCAGGATCAGATGCTTTCATTTGAGGGGCAATGAATTTCTGGTCACCTGTTTTCTTATGATGTGAATGTACTGATTAAGTTCATCATTCTTTGATAAGAATGGAGTAACTAGAATAGATATTGAGAGGTGATCTGGATTTTTGATTTAGAGGTTATACCACTTTACTTCTCTATGGAGCTGTTAAAAAATGGTCCTATTGTTGCGCAAGGTGGTTATGATAGCCAAATACCAGTCATAACCCGTTCTTTACTACTTGTATCCACCTGCATTAGTATAATTTTTTATTCTAAAGACATGTATCTCTCTTTGCAGTTGCTAGCCCTGTGGTTCATGAAGAAACGGGACCATCAGAAGCAAACCTTTTTGCTGGCAAATGCATAGTGGATCCAAACCAACCTCAAAGCAAGCAAGTAAAACCAGTTACGAGCCTGCACCGGATTATAAAATTTAGATTGGCACCCAATGTTGACTCTGATGATGCATCTAAACAGACTCCGTAAGTAATGTTTATAATTTTATTTTTTTGGGTTATAAAATCTTTGAATTATACATCTTGTGTTTTCAAATCTGATTTTTGAAACGAAAACTCAAATATTTGGTTGTTCGAGTTGTCCAGGGATCAGGTGCAACATACAGTGCATTCAATGGGGAATGACCAACATGAGAATCCATAGTCAACCCTAAGCTTGTGTCGTATAAACAAGGATAACTTGCATGCTAAGCTAAAAGCTGAATGTTGTTGTAGAGCCTCTTTCTGATAAGACTTTTTTCTTTTCCTTTCGACGTAGTTGGCACCATGAGCTTTTTGTAAATTTGAGCCATGTGCGTTTTAGTTTCAGAAAATGAAAAAGAAACTTATTCGTTAAGGCTTGACCAAGCCATCACATTTGCTGGCCTTCAAAATATAAAATTATTTATCTTTCTTTTGTGTATTACCTGGTTTCCATGAGGCCTATGAGGTGGTTCGTTCTGCCTTCGTAATTTTGAATTCTTTTGCCTCATGATCCTTCGACCACATGATGTCAAATATGGGTTTGGTAAATGGGGTCAATAAAGTGAATATACTCAGAGATCCTTTTACATCAAACCCATATGGTGTCAATGGGTTTGGTAAGTTGATCAAGCAGTTTGGTAAATGGGAAAATATTGTCTACATTAAGCAATGCTGAGGTCATATTAGGGGTGAAATTTTTAGGTTTAAGTTTCGAATATGCATATCCTAACCCTTGAACCTTTCTGGTTTGGAACCTCGAACCTCTTTGAGAGTAAAATTTTGAAATTTGATCAACTTCAAATTATGATTTAAATGAAAACGTTGAAATTTGAAATTCTAAATCATAGATATGAGACTCGTATTTGTGAACCGACTCAAATTACAGATACAAGATTCAGGTTTGTAAATCAAAGACTCGAGGATTGTGTCTTACCGAACTCGAGATAGTAGTTCGTAATTCTGATTTTTCATGTGCCAGGGAATCATTTTCTCATGAGTCAAACACAGCGCGAAGAAAGTCATCTTGGAAAGAAAAAGGAAAACACAACAACTTGACTTGACAGTTATATGCCTGAAAGGGCGCGTGACTTGGAAGGTTGGAAGTTGGAATCATCAGCTCCTTCCACGTGTAAGCGAATCCGCGACAGTAGAGTCGGTAGCAGACCAATCGCCATGCGCCAGCAGAGCTACCACTTTGTCTTTCTCCTTCCCTATTTTCTGTGCTGCTTTGCTGAAGCTCTGCTTCCATTTTTATTATCATTTCATTCTCTCAGAGGCAGACAGACAAGAATCATTCTCTCTGCCCTCAATCAAAACCAAATGATTTTTTTTTTTTTTTAAATTTATAATTAATTTCCTAATTCCCTTTATAAAGTGAAACCAAACCGGAATCTCATACAGCCCATTCTCCATAAAATAGCTCACAGCCCTACCAACCTAACTTTTTTATTTTGTGCCTCTCTCTCTCTCTCTCTTCCCCCCCTATTGGAAAGTGGAAACCAACCTTATTCAGAAGCTCAGAGCTTGAATTTTCTAAATTATTCAGACAAACAAGACAGAGATCGCCACCCAAAAGACTCAAAATTCCCACTTTTTTTCTCTTCCTGGTAAATTATGAATTTCCTTTCTGTTCCTCTCTCTAATTAAATCTTTCATTTCATTCAATTGCCATCGTTTTTGAGAGATTGTCGCTTTCAATTTTTTGCTGTTGTAATTTAAATTCCTGTTCGTTGATTGGGTTTTACTCAATAATTTGCAGGTAAAGCTCTCATTTCCATCGAGTTCACGATAACGTGGAAAAGGGGTTATTTGTGATATTTGACCATCTGATGTTTTATCTCGAATCACTGCATCAAAAACCTGTGAATTATTCATCTAGGCCCCCCTTCCTCTACTCCATTTGCTACATTTTTCTCCCTTCGGATTTTTTCTTTATATGTTGCTTCAATTGTCTCCGATTTCGCCTAAAACTTTGACACTTATCATACTGAAGCTCAATTTGGTATTTTGTGGTGGATTTAAAGGATTGAAAATTTGTTTATAATGGCGACTGAAAGATATAGGCCGGTGTCAATAGAGGACTTGCCATCACATTTAGTTTTAGAAATCTTGAGCTCGAGAAAGCTCAGTGCCATTGATCTTCTACATTTAGAGTTAACTTCTAGGACATTTGGAGGGAGTCATGAGTTGTACCCTCACAAGTTTCGGTCACTGGTGGACTTTGCGGCGTATCAGCTATGTGTGTCCCATTCTGTTTATGGTAAAATGGAATGGAATGCTCAGAGGGGGTTATTTGATCGGTGCGGTGGGAAATGGAAGCGGGTTTTGAGGTTCTTGCAATCGGTGGAGCAATCATCTGACATGGTCGAGACCTCAGCAGGCAATGTACTATTTCATTATTATTTGCAGTTGCTTATAATGAATGAACTTTATCTGCAATCTGGAATACTGGTTAAGCGAAAGAACACCAATGTGCTTGATAATATATTCTTGTGGAGTTTGCTAATTAAGTCAATCATCAGTTACAATGTTTGCATGAAACGACTTTGTTCTTGGTAACTTAATCCCTTATTTATTTAGATTCTCCAAATTCTTACAGTGAGATTAGTTGGCATGCAATAACTAAAAGAAAATTGAGAAATGAGATATAGATTTTAAAATTAGCTGAAGGATTGCTTACCATTGCTTGACCATTTTGAAGACTCAGCAGAAAATGACATAATTTAGTTCATCTACTAAAAAAAGAAAGATCTAAATATTGTTTGTGTTCCCTCTTCGTAGAAAATGTCTTTCAAAAATTTGTTAGATAATTGGCCTGTTGGTTCATGTTGATAATATTACGCTGCTTTTTTTCTTTTCTTTTTTTTTTTGCTTAGTTTTCTGGTCGTTTTTATAGATGCTGGATAAAATGTTAAGATTGTTTTTATCAGCAGATGCAAATTACAACTGGAAGGTATCACACGTTGCTAATCAGCAATTCATCATTATACTCATGTGGTTCCAGCTTGTGTGGTGTTCTTGGTCATGGTCCTGAGACTAAGCAATGTGTAACATTTACCCGGATTAATTTTCCATCTCCAGCACAAGTAGTCCAAGTGTCGGCCTCCCATAACCATGCTGCTTTTGTTATGCAATCTGGAGAGGTTAGTCCCTGCTTGTACTCATCACGTTTTACCTTCTTCTGAACTGAAATAATAATAATGATACTAATAGTAGCGAGGAGGTTGCTCTTGGCAGTGAATGATGAAAGTATGTTAGGGTCTCATGAGGATATGAAACTAAGTGAAAAGGGTTTAAACACTGTTATTGGTAACTGACATGTCAAAGTAGGCCATAGTAGTGACTGTTCCTTGACATAGAAGCTGTTGTATCTTAGATGTGACTACATAAGAAATACTTTTCCATCATTTGGAGCTCAATAGTTCCACTTAAGATTTGAATTCTGCTGGTTTCTTTCTTCATGTTCCTTAAGTTTTGTTGAAAGTTTCACACCCATGACTTGTTGGTTGTTTGGTAATGATAGGCACTTATAGGTTATTATGGAGATTTGCAAGCTGTATGATCCCATTGTGAAACCTGGTTTAGAATTTGGTTGGGATTTCACTATCAACATACTAGCTATCTACTCACGCACACTGCTTTCTGCGCCTACATATCATTTACACGTCCAGTGTCTTATAGAGAATAAAACTACTGTGAGCTCTCTCGTGTTAGTTTTCTAGTACTTGCCTTGATGCATTAATAGTGTGCTTGTGTCTTGTCACTCTTTTAGTAGCATAGCTCTCTTACTTTTAGATATTTGTGCATGATTGTCCTGCTATGTGTAGTCCCTGACATATTATATTTGTGAGATCAACTTTGATACATTGCTTGCCATAGTCATTTAATGATGCCGTCCGGTTACTGATACAGGTTTTCACATGTGGGGATAATTCGTCATTTTGTTGTGGGCATAAAGATACAAACCGACCAATTTTTAGGCCTAGGCTTGTTGAGGCATTGAAGGGACTTCCTTGCAAGCAGGTACATTCTTATCCACATTGTCATAGCATAAATGATGATTGGTTTTTCAAAATGGATGAACAAGCATGAGCGTTGATGGATATTATATAACCTTCTGGGTAAATGATCTAGATCCTTTTCTAGTGGAGATTATTGTGGATTTTTTTGGCCTTCATTGCTGTCAATAGCAGGAAATCGTTGGATTATTGGAAAATTGAGCATGTTCTAGTATTATGAATGCAATATCTCTGTTCAAAGGCTACAATTTGTTGCGCTACATTTTCTATTTTTGGTCTTCTTTTAATTAGTAATGTTGCACTATAATTTCTAACATTATTAACTCAAGGATTTATATCTAGTTATTGGTTACCCTTTTTTCTCAAGAAACATAAAAGGGAAGCTGCTTGGAACCTGTTTCTGGTGTTCGAAGCTAAATACTTTGATTTGTAATGTACTCTTAATCTTAGAGGTCTGATTCTGACCATTTGTCCGATTATACATCTATCTTTTTCATCCTGAAAAATTATAGATAGGAAGGGCCCAAGTTCCCGTTATCCATTGTTAGAAATGGATTTATGCTTTATTGCCATTGTAAGGTGATATGTTTTTTTTTTTCCTTCTGATTTCTATTCATATGATTATATCTTTATAAGTTATCTGTTGGAACTTCATTCGATCTAATTCCCTTTTTCCTTTCCTATTCCTACAACATGCAATTAAACATTAAAGAACTTGTTCAGGTTGCTACAGGGCTTAATTTTACCGTGTTCCTTACAAGACAAGGTCATGTTTATACATGTGGGGCCAACACACATGGCCAACTTGGTCATGGAGACACCATAGATAGCCCGGCTCCAAAAATGATTGAACTTCCCGAGGGAATTGGCTACATAGTTCAGATTGCTGCTGGCCCGAGTTATGTTTTAGCTGTAGCTGACAATGGAGTAGTCTACTCTTTTGGTTCGGGTTCTCACTTCTGTCTTGGCCATGGAGAACAACATGATGAGTTCCAGCCACGCGCAATCCAAACATTTAAAAGAAAGGGTATTCATGTGGTTCGTGTCTCTGCAGGTGACGAGCATGCTGTGGCACTTGATTCCAGTGGATATGTTAGTCTCCAAACCGAAGATGAAGTTTCTATATTCAATTGTTTATGCTCAGCATGTATTTGAGTTCTGACCAAAACGGTTCTAACTTTCAGTATGGCAATTGCAGGTATATACTTGGGGTAAAGGCTACTGTGGTGCATTAGGCCATGGGGATGAGATTGACAAGACTACCCCAGAACTCTTGAACAAGCTTAAAAGCCACCTCGCTGTACAGGTTTGGTTTGTTCATTCTTTTGATCATTTCTGATAAAGTTGCTATTTTTTGTGTCAATTGTTCTTCAAGGTTGCCCGGAATTGTTAAGAATAGATGCAATAGTCCAAAGCAAGGACAATCTTTGGTGTTTCAAAACTTGCATACCTGTTGAAAAGAATCAAATCTGTGCATCTCTCTTTTTTGTTTTTCCCAGTTCACGGGGAACCTCTCATTCTAATCCATAGGTGTGCTTTAACAGTTATTGTATTCTGTAGGTGTGTGCTAGAAAGCGGAAGACCTTTGTTCTTGGTGACAATGGTTCAGTATATGGTTGTGGTTGGATGGGGTTTGGCAGCCTTGGATTTCCAGACAGGGGAGTATCTGATAAAATTTTGAGACCTAGAATCCTTGATAGCTTAAGAGCTCATCATGTTTCTCAGATTAGCACTGGGTTGTACCATACTGTTGTTGTCACTAACCGTGGAAAACTCTTTGGATTCGGAGATAATGAAAGGGCGCAACTCGGGCACGACACTTTAAGAGGATGCCTTGAACCAACTGAAATATTTATACAAGAAATGGTTGATGACGTGGATATTGTTCCAGAATGCGTCTGACCTCAGAGAGATACCGTTGGCTTCACGGAGCTGTATGATTTTATGTCCCAAGTGAACACCATTAGACTTTCCACCATAATTTTTAGGGAATTTCACGAAATTGTAACTGTGTAAGTATAGGGTAATAGCTTCTGTATAAGTGAGATTAAGATGGATTATGTGTAAAACTTTAGTTGTGTTTTTTTTTTTTTTTATGGTTTGAAAAACTATGTTGTTCTGTCTATCGATTTTTGTGATACTTGTGGGAAATTAGATTGCGTACGAAGAGTCTAGCTATGACTGCATTGTAACTTTGTTTCATTTATAAGTGCCTAAGAATGATTCTTCTTTCAAATGCTGTCTACTTATGGTTCTCCTTGTCAATGCCTTGAGTTTATAAGGGTTGATTTGATATACACATGGGAAGTTATGTACTCAAATTACTAGGACATCTGTCAAGGTATTGTTTGTGACATTTTTGGGTAGAGTAATGCTATGGAAGTCACTCACATGTGCATCAATGGTTGTCAGCCATATTGATGCAAGTGAATCTCACAACGCAACAATGGTTGGACGACTGTTATTAGCACAACTTTTTTTTATCCTTCCCGCATTTGCCAGCTAATCTCCCATGTCCCATGGAGAACTAGCTTTATACCATATTAGGCGTGTACCACAAGGTTTGCCATCTTGTAGCAGACATGGATAACGTAGTCTTTAATCCTTTGTAGCCTTGTAGGTAAAATAACAAACCATACCACAGGGGTGGTAAAGTTTAATCTTTTGGGATTTTAATTTTAAACCAGAGGGAAGGCATTTCAGTTAACAGTCATTTTTATCATTTATTTCTGTACCATAAGACAGCACCTATCAGCCAGCCTTAGATCAAACCCTACTTCACCAGTCATGCCTGCAGAATTTAGCCTTTCCATTATGAACTTCTGATCTTTTATGTTGGAGTTTAATTTAAAATCAGT